TTTAGTTTTGTTTCCTTTGCTGTGCAAAAGCTTTTTATCTTGATGAAGTTCCAATAGTTCATTTTTGCTTTTGTTTCCCTTGCCTTTGGAGAAAAACCAAGAAGTTGCTGCAGCTGAGGTCAAAGAGGTTGCTGCCTGCATTCTCCTCTAGGATTTTGATGGATTCCTGTCTCACATTTAGGTCTTTCATCCATTTTGAGTTTATTTTTGTGTATGGTGTAAGAAAATGGTCCAGTTTCATTCTTCTACATGTGGCTGTCCAATTTTCCCAGCACCATTTATTGAATAAAATAAAAGTCCTTTTTCCATTGGATATTCTTTCCTGCTTTGTCGAAGATTAGTTGACCATAGAGTTGAGGGTCCATTTCTGGGCTCTCTATTCTGTTCCATTGGTCTATATGTCTGTTTTTGTGCCAGTAGCCTACTGTTTTGCTGATTACAGCTTTGTAATAGAGCTTGAAGTCCAGAACTGTGATGCCACCAGCTTTGGTTTTCTTTTTTCAAGATTCCTTTGGCTATTCAGGGTCTTTTCTGGTTTCATACAAATTTTGGGATTGTTTGTTCCAGCTCTGTTAAAAAAGTTGGTGGTATTTTGATAGGGATTTCACTGGATCTGTAGATTGCTTTGGGTAGCATAGACATTTTAACAATATTTTTTCTTCCAATCCATGACGCATAGTTTTCTCATTTCCTGTGTCTTCCTCAATTTCTTTCATAGGTCTTCTACGGTTTTCAGAGTATAGATCCTTTATCTCTTAGGTTTATTCCTAGGTATCTTACGGTTTTTGGTGCAATTGTAAATGGGATGGATTCCTTGATTTCTCTTTCTTTTGCCTCATTGTTAGTGTATAGAAATGCAACTGACTTCTGTGCACTGATTTTATATCCTGACACTTTGCTGAACTCCTGTATCAGTTCTAGCAATTTTTTGGTGGAGTCTTTTGGGTTTTCTACATATAGTATTATGTGGTCTGTGAAGTGTGAAAGTTTGACTTCTTAGCCTATTTAGATGCATTTTCTTTCTTTTTGTTGTCTGATTGCTGAGGCTAGGACTTCCAGTACTATGTTGAACAATGGTGCTGACAGAGGACATCCTTGTCATGTTCCTGACCTTAGGGGAAAAGCTCTCAGTTCTTTCCCGTTGAGGATGATATTTGCTGTGGGTTTTTCGTATATGGCTTTTATGATATTGAGGTATGTTCCCTCTATCCCTACACGGTGGAGAGTTTTTATCAAGAAAGGATGCTGTATTTTGTCAAATGCTTTTTCTGCATCTATTGAGAGGATCATATGGTTCTTGTCCTTTCTTTTATTAATGTGGTGTATCACATTAGTTGATTTATGGATGTTGAACCACTCTTGAACCACTGGGAATATATCCCAGCTGGTCATGGTGAATAATCCTTTTATTTTTTAACTTTTTTAAAGGTTTTATTTATTTGAGAGAGAGAGAGAGTGTACAAGCCAGGGGGGAGAGGCACAGGGAGAAGCAGACTCCCCGCTGAGCAGGGAGCCCAACATGGGGTTCCATCCAAGGACTCCAGGAGCATGACCTGAGCTGAAGGCAGATGCTTAACCGACTGAGCCACCGAGGTGCCCCGTGAGTAATCCTTTTAATGTCCTGTTGGATCCTATTGGCTAGGATCTTGGTAAGAATTTTTGCATCCTTTTTCATCAGGGATATTGGTTGTAATTCTTTTTGGTGGAGGCTTTGTCTGGTTTTGGGATCAAGGTAATGCTGGCCTCATAGAATGAGTTTGGAAGTTTTCCTTCCATTTCTGTTTCTTGAAACAGTTTCAGAAAAATAGGTATTCATTCTTCTTTAAATGTTTGGTAGAATTCTGCTGGGAGGCAATCTGGACCTGGACTCTTGCTTGTTGGGAGATTTTTGATTACTGATTCAATTTCTTTGCAGATTATGGGTCCATTCAGGTTGTCTATTTCTTCCTGTTTCAGTTTTGGTAGTTTATATGTTTCTAGGAATGCATCCATTTCTTCCAGATTGCCTAATTTGTTGGCATATAATTGCCTATAATATTCTAATTCTTCGTATTTCTTCAGTGTTGGTTGTGATCTCTTCTCTTTCATTCATGATTTTATTTGGGTTCTCTTTTCTTTTTGATAAGTCTGACTAGGGGCTTATCGTTCTTATTCTTCCAAAGAACCAGCTCCTGGGGCACCTGGGTGTCTCAGTCAGTTAAGCATCTGCCTTTGGCTCAGATTACTTACGAGAGTCCTGGGATTGAGCCCTGAATCTTGGGTTCCCTGCTCAGCAGGGAGTCTGCTTCTCTCTCTGCCTGCCACTCCCCCTGCTTGTGCTCTCTCTCACTCTCTCTCAAATAAGTAAATAAAATCTTTAAAAAAACAAACAAACAAAAAAAAACCCAAGCCCCCAAAGAAAGCAGCTCCTAGTTTTGTTTTTCTGTCCTACCGTTCCTTTGATTTCTGTATCATTGATTTATAGGCTTTGTTTGCTGTTCTTTTTTCAGCTCCTTTAGGTGTAGGGTTAGGTTGTGTATTTGAGACTTTTGTTGTTTCTCAAGAAAGGCCTGTATTGCTATATACTTCCCTCTTAGGATGGCCTTTGCTGCATCCCAAAGGTTCTGAATTGTCTTGTTTTCATTTTCATTTGCTTCCATGTATTTTTAAAATTCCTCTTTAATTTCCTGGTTGACCCATTCATTCTTTAGTAGGACGCTCTTTAAATTCCATGTATTTGTGTTACTTCCAAATTTTTTCTTTAGTTGACTTCAAGTTTTAAAGCATTGTGGTCTGAAAATATGCACGGAATAGTATCAATTTTTTTTTTTTTTTTTACTGGTTGAGACCTGATTTGTGACCTGGTATGTGATCTATTCTGGAGAATGTTACATGTGCACTTGAGAAGAATGTGTGTTCTGTTAAGATGAAATGCTCCGAATATATCTGTGCATTCCATCTGATCCAGTGTGTCATTTAAAACCCTTGTTTCCTTGTTGGTCTTCTGCTTAGATGATATGTCCATTGCTGTGAGTGGGGTGTTAAAGTCCCTTACTATTATTTTATTATTATCAATGTGTTTAATTTTGTTATTAATTGGTTTATATATTTGGCTGCTCCTGTGTTAGGGGCATAAATAGAGTTGTTAGATCTTATTGGATAGACCCTTTTATTATGATATAGTGTCCCTCTTCATCCCTTACTACCAGTTTGATATAAGGACTGCTACCCCAGCTTCCTTTTGATGTCCATTAGCATGATAAATGGTTCTCCACACCCCCCTTTCAATCTGGAGGTGTCTTTGTGTCTAAAATGAGTCTCTTACAAGCAGCACATTGATGGGTCTCGTTTTTCTATCCATTCTGATACCCTATGTCTTTTGATTGGAGCATTTAGTCCATTTTTATATATATTTAAAGATTTTATTTGACAGATACATAGCGAGAGAGGGAACACAAGCAGGGGGAGTGTGAGAGGGAGAAGCAGGCTTCCCGCAGAGCAGGGAGCCCGATGCGGGGCTCAATCCCAGGACCCCGGGATCATGACCTGAACTGAAGGCAGACACTTAATGACTGAACCACCCAGGCGCCCCTATATTTTATTTTTTTTTAAGATTTATTATTTTGAGAGAGAGAGGGAGTGAGCAAGCATGAGCAGGGGGAGGGTCAGAAGGAGAGGAAGAGAATCCCAAGCTGACTTCTCATGGATGACTGAGCCATCCAGATGCCCCAGAGCTTTTACTTTATTTTTTAAAGATTTTTATTTATTTATTAGGATGAGAGAGAGAAGGAGCAGGGGGAGTGGCAGGTAGGGGGGGAAGCAGACTCCCTGCTGAGCAAGGAGCCCAATGAGGGGCTCGATCCCAGGACCCTGGGATTGTGACCTGAGCCCAAGGCAGATGCTTAACTGACTGAGCCACCCAGGCATCCCCAGCTTTTACTTAAAACAGTTAGATTGAATCCTGTCAAGAGTTCAGGTTAGGTGGGCATGTTGCCAGGCAAACACCTCCTGGGAGAGTTATTTGGAAGTAACAAAGTAACAGCAGAAGGTCTTGTTATTTTTTTCCTCATTTCATGTGAATGGTGTTTCTCAGGCCTGGGGCTGAGAGCAGCATGCGGTGAAATTAGAACTTAAAAGAGATAGGCTTTTGGGAGTGTCAGGTGATTCTTAGGAAGAAATTCAGGAGCCCTAATGAGATACCTTTACTGAGGTGAAGTTTGGAACCAGGGGGTTAATCTGAAGCTCACCTGTTTTCATTGCTCTGTAACACCTTATTTGCTTTGGTGGAGAAAGAGAATCTCCAGCCTTAAATGTGTCCCCGTTTTGCAAGTGCACACAGGCGCTCCCACTAGTGAGACTGTACGAGGGCCACATCTGCCGAGGACCCAGAGCACCAGGGCTCGGATTGTACAGAAATCTGGGACAAATCACAGGTTGGAAAAGCGATGTGGCTGGTTCCCCTGAGCCTTAGTGTAACACGGAGAAGAGGTCGGACTCAAATTCATCTTGTACGTTTCCCCGAAACCACTCTGACCTCGGGGATGGTTGGATTTCTTCCTGATGTAACTGACCTCAAACAGAAAGTTTGTGTTGAGCATCTCCTTGTTACCCAGCAAGGCTGAGCTTTAAAACAGACTGGAAATAAGCGGGTGAGAGAAGCAGCTGGAGCAGGCAAGACCGTGTGAAAGAGTAAACGAGGCTGACGCGCTGCGGCATATGCAGCTTGCCTGGGATGTGTTGTTTCTACACGTACCATTTGGAGGATTTGTGGGAATTTTAACATTGGAAAAGGGTCAACATGCTTCTATTTAAAAGGAAGAATAAATTTTAGATGTGTCAATTATTTTCTCTCAAGGACCTTCAGTGACCACCATGGAAAGACACGGAATTTAATTAGACCACAGAGGGTTCCAGCCACGATAAATCAAACTGCACAGAATAAGGCGATGACCGAATGGTCTACTTCGGGGTGAGAGAATCCAAATAAATTCATCTTGCTGTAAAGAAGAGACACACAGCAATTCAAGGCTTTTGAAAAAAGCATCATTTATTTCAAAGTACAACACAAAGTTGTATTTTTAAGAAATACACATTCAATCTTGTATCCCAAGACCTGGCTATGTGCATTTCAGTTTATCTTTAAAATAAATTCAGGTATACAAATGGTACATACCTCAAGTACAAACAGCACAGAAAATGCATATGGTCTCAACCGAATGTTTTTACATTCATTCACTGTTCTTAAAGTTGACTTACATTTCTGTAATCTGCTTTTAAACCAAGACAGCCTTATTTTAAAAAAATACTCTATTTTTCAGCACAAAGTCCTCATACATTTTTAAAATTAGATCTTGGTGCATAATATTGTGAAATTATTAAAAACCAAACTTGGTAATTTAATAAAATTGTCACATGCCAGGACTTCTGAATCAACTCAAATTATTTCCTTAGCTGTAAATGTCAAATTTGTGTTCATACAGATAAATAAAGGATGGAAGAAGACAGGTGGTGGAAACTTGATAGCAGTTAAGGTTTTCAGATGTACAGGTCTTATTAGAGTTTGTGGCTGAGTCCAGACTTTTTTCCCTAAAAGCACAACAGCAAATCTCATATTATCATAATTGCAAGAAAGATCTGAAAGAAGCGAGTGGTACAAGCCTGCCCTGCTTGAGTCTGTTTTGCAAAGACGAGGAGGGTGGGCAGTGGGAAGCCACAGCAGTAACAGCCTTAAGAAGATGTCTCACAAACTGGCATATTATGGTCTAGACGAGGGGCCCCCAGTTTTTGTTGTTGTCGCCTAATTTCAATTCTCATGAGGGAAGTGTGAGTTAGACCAAGGGTCAGAGCTTCTTCTTCCGATTGTGGGGCTCCATATCCGCCACGGGTTGTACGTCTGCCCCAAGTCATCGGCTGGGCTGGAGGTGGAGGGAGCATGAGGAGCAGAGGAGTTTTCAGTGCCCATGAGGCCAATGCTTGGCAGCGTATTGGCTGGAGTGGTGAAGGGCAGGGTACTGTTCAGGTTGCTGGACCAGATCGAGTTGCTGAATGGAGTGGTGGACCACAGGCCGCTGGTGTTGCCAAGGATCGACTGACAAGACAGAAAACACGCAGCATGGAGCATCAGGACTGACAGGCACGCAGGTGGTACATTGGTGAAGCTTATGCTAAAAATCGGGGCTGGGCCATAGCTTCTTTCACCTTCTTTATTTTGAAACAAATGTTTCATACATATAGCCATCTCAGAGTCTGAGCAGATGGGTCTGCTATTTTAAAGAAGGGCTGGCAAACTACAGTCAGCGGGCCACCCCCAGCCCTGTTTCTGAAGTGAAAGGTCTGCTGGAACACGGCTGCACCTGCTGGTGGAGGGGGCACAGGTGACCAGATGCACAGAAGCAGGATGGCCTGCGAAGCCCAAAATAGCTGCTGACGCCTGTTTGTTTTAAAAGCATCTTAACCATTCTTTAAAACTGAAGCCAGAATGATTTACAAGTAAAGACAAGCTCTGAAATCTAGGAAGGTAAAATATCTACTTTCAACCCTGCTTGTCTAGTTTTTCTGAGAATGAAGAAGGAGTCACAGTGGGATATTTTTCTGTCATACTTTTGTGAAAGCTGAAACCAGTAATTATCTTGGTAAGAATACTTTTTTGGAGCATGTTCTTGACAGAAACATTCAGCTGAAAAACCAGCAACTGTACACTGGAAAAGCTCAAGCTAAAGACAGAGGTGCCCCCCAGAAGCAAAATCAATGCAACTTTCCAGCAGCCTGCTCCTGGGGGCCCGCGGGGCTACAGCCACCCCCTGCCACTGACTGGCCCTCAGCCACACCTGCAGGCTGATTTACGGCTTGGGAAGAGGCTGGACTGACTTTGCTCAACTCGGAGACCTACCCCACAGGTGCTCACTTGTGCTTCCTATAATTTCCTGACTAATCGCTGAAGACTATGGATGGGTCACTCTGGCAGAATATGAAGACACAGCAATGGAGGCCGTAGAAGAACTAACCTGTCCCTTCCTTTTATAAGGGCGTCAGTGCCGCATGAGTAACAGTGACAGTAAGAGCAGTAATGATGAGGGAGCAGGTGAGGCCAAGCCCCCAATACTCACTGTGGCCGTGTGGGTCGGGGAACTGGAACTGGCTGGCCAGGAAGGGCTGGGATCCGTTGCTGGAGAGTCCCAAAGGTATGAAGGGCCACTACTAAACTCGTTCCAGCCTCTCTGGGAGGCTTGATTGCATGACCGAGATAACCCGAGTCTGCTGAAAACTTCTGCAAATAAGGAGGAAGTCAAGTCTGTATTATTGTGCCACGCTCACTCACCTAGGATAAGATGGAGCATTCACTCAGAGGCACATGTCCCCCCACCTGCTCACTCAGAGCCCCCCACCTGTTCTGCCAGCTCCCACCATACCCTGGGGAGAACAGGGCACAGGGGGCAATCCCCAGAACTCATGCACATGGCCCACGATCTGAGCTCTTTCCCCGCACCCATCACTGGATGACATCAAGTGCAAACATCCCATCACTAACATGACCGCCACTGATGCAAAGCTCACATTGCTGCCTCTACTTCTGGACACCAAGTAAGGAGCCCAGCATGGCCAGGAGTCATCTTTCAGACACACAATCCTTTCTCGAAGTTCTTAAATAAATGCTGGGGAACACAAACTGATGGGCACTCAGGGCACTGAGCTGGCTCCACCAGACCTTTGGGCTGGTTGGGGGAGGGGGCAGAAGAGGAGAGCCTTTTGCAAGCTTCTTGCGGGGCCTCCCTCTTTGTGGGCCGCTGTCCCAGGGGCTGAGTAGGCCCGGGCTCCCGAGCATCTATCTGGGAGAGCCCTGCTGCCCTCAAGTCAGCCCGCATATCTTCTACACGAAGAAACACACCTCTTAGAAATGCCTACTAAATGACAGGCTTGGGATGCCTGGGTGACTCAGTCGGTTGAGCATCTGTCTTTGGCTCAGGTCGTGATCTCGGGGTCCCGGGATCGAGCCCCACATCGGGCTCTGTGCTTAGTGGGGAGTCTGCTTCCTCCTCTGCCCCCACCACTTGTGCTGGCTTGCTCTCTCACTTACTCTCTCTCAAATAAATCTTAAAAAAAAAAAATGACAGGCTTTCCTAGTTCAGTGTGTTTCTCCACACATAAAACTAGACCTCATCTTCCTTTCTTCTCTGTCCACAGGCTTATTAGTTACAGATCTAGTGTTAAACACTCACCACCAGTTAGGTTAAAAGAATTTCCAAAGGCCGAGAACGAATTGAGGGGTGTGAAGTCAGGGCTGCTGGGGTTGCTGGCGGGACTCCACAAACCCGAGCTGGATGTTACAGGAGGAAAACGCAACACAGAGATGTATAATGGTTAGTGGGAACAGGCCTGTTACACACGGCTTCAGACACAGCGGGCGCTGCTTCACCTGGGGGCACTCAGATATGAAAGGCAAAGGCTTCTACGCCACAAAGGATTCAGGCACAGAGAGGTTCTGAGCTCCTAGGCTACCGGAAGCTGTGAGCCTGGTTCAAAGCAAGTGTTCTGCAGAGAGAACAGGTGTTTTTTTTCCCTTATGTTTGCTTTTTTGGTAATGGCAGATTTATTTAAAAAATTTCAGATCTAGGACTCCTCCCTTTTAGTACGAGGTAGGTAAAACTGGGGCTGTACCGACAGTCTTTACTGTTATTTATCTGGGAAAATGAACCAAGGCAATCGGTGCAGGTCATGGTGACCGGGGGGTTGCTCTGGGTCAGGAGAGTGGCATCTCCAGTAATTTACTACACACTGTCTAGTACGAACTCCAGTTTCCTTCTCCTATCTCTATCAGCTCACATCGTTTCGTATGACAGACCGCGACAGGGAAGACGGATGAACACACACCTGCCCCGCTGTCGGGGGGTGGGGGCAGTCACCAGGAGAAGCACAGCAACCGGGCTTTCTGCTTCCACCCAACAGACGAGAGCTCCTAGAGGTGCCTGACTGCTGTGATGGCCTACTTCGAATCTCGGGGGAACACACGTATGGACAGAAGAAGCTAACCTTGACTTTTATCTTTCTTTTGATTAAGAATGGTCTACTGTACCTGTCTGAGCCATCGCTGTCGACAGGAGTGTGTGAAATGCCAAGGCTGCTGGAAAAATCTGTTTTGTTTGAAGAAACTTTAGCAAAGCCATTCCCGCCTGTAACAATGGACTCTGAATCAATCAAAGGCAATTCCACCGTGCCCGAAGCCCATGTGTGACAGGCAGGACACCAAGCCACTCACCTGGACTCTTGTCGTACCCGGCGGTGACTGCAGCAAAAGTGGGGTTGCCGTTCCTGCCAGGGAGTGAGGCTGCTTTTGTCAATTTGTGTTTGCTTCCATTTGGCTGCTTGGTTTTAGGGTCACTTGAAGGAAGAAGCAAAGAGAGGGGTCATTCCTCATTAGTCCAGGGTGGAGGCCCATTGGGGGCACTTGCCTTGGGCGGTGTGGCTGCCCCGGGACTGAGCCCATGCAGTGCCCTCACTGAGGCTGGGCCCAGGTTTCGACAGGGACCTGGAAATAGTCCAGGGCAGCCCCCAGAGCACGGCCTGGCCTCACGTAAAATGCTCCCAGACCTAAGACTGCTGTCCGATGGGACATAAGGGACTTCAGGGAAAGGTGTGAAAACAGAAGGTCCCTAGGAAAGAGACCAGGGCAGGGATGAGCATTTAGGGGTGGAAAGGCTGCAATCCCATTTTAAAGAACACTAGATAGGGAGCCACCGGGTCGTGGGCCAAGGAGGAGAACAAGGGCTCACTGCTGGGCAATACTATGCGGCAGGGTTCCAGTCTCCAGCCCCTGTCAGGACCTGGTAAGGGGCCCGGTTCGGCAAGGGCCCCAGGCGGGGCCCCTTGCCCCCTGGCTCTTTGGCAGGAGAGAAAAACCAGGCAGGTCGGCTGCAGGTTCAGGCTGGGTGGTGACAGCACTGAGGCGGGCTTGCCAGGGAGGGCGTGCGGTGCCGACGGCATGCTGGCACACGCCAAGAACTGGGTCTGGGCTCCTCGCTCTCACCGGGGTTCCTGTTACACTAAGCCGAACACGGCGGGGCTCCGGGCCTCCAGGCAGGAGCGCCGTCAGGGCGTCCCGCCTGCCCGTCGGGAGGCCGCCGCCTCTGCGCACAGCACGTCCTGCAGCACCTCCCGGCAGCCGGCCGCGGGCCAGAGCCTGCCCTTGTAACCGCTCAGCTCCGCTGCCGTGAGGTCAAAATAAACGTCCTGTAAAGCCGCTTCCTCAACACCCAGGGCAGCTGTAGATCTTCATGTAATACTTAGGATGCTTACTGCTGGGCCCGACGTGGGGGCAGCGACCCCGGGACAGGGCAGAAGCTTGTAAAGGACAGACAGGAGAGGTGGGACAGGACAGCAGGCTGTGGCCACTGAGCGTCTGCACTCGAAGGGCGCAAGCATCTACAGAACTTAGTTATCTGAAGAGTGGGGGGCGGCCAGGGACCCACCTGCTGGAGCTGTTGACGACGCTGCTGTAGCTGCCCCGGGTCGAGAATGGGCAAGGTGCAGCGGGGGGGGACGGAGAGGCAGGCGTCGGTGAGGTCTGGCGTTGTTTTAAGAAAATGTCTGCGTTGAGGGTTTGCAGAGAAAGTTTATAAAGGCTGTCGGTAGCTGGAAATGAAAAATAAAAGGTCTCATTAATGTAGTGTTTTTTTACTCTTGAAATTACTTTTGATGTTCTGATAGAATGCAGAACTCAAGGGCTTCTGTAAGAAAGTTTTTACATGTGTTGTTTAAAGGTTTGAAAGGAAAAAAGGAAGTCCTGTGTCTCTGCAGCTTGAGGCTTTCCGACTCACTGGCATGACTCCTCTCTCCTTGGTGCTCTGCTGCACCCTCCTGGGCAGGTTCTCCCACCTCACGCCGGGAAGGCGGCTCTTCCTCGTCCTTCAGGGACGGCAGGGAAAATCAGTGTTTGGGATGGGAAAGAGTCCCGGTACTTCCATCCAGGCTCACACCTGCAGCAGGTGCAGGGCGGCAGGCGGAACCATCCTGAGACCTATCGCTTGACCCTGCCCTGCACTCCGCGGGCACACCTGGGGAGCTGCCACCCCACTCCGCTTCACAAGGATACGAGCTCCTACAAGAGTCCTGCTGCCCTTCAGGATAATGTGTACACAGCTGTTTGAAAAATTTATAACAGAAAAAACTTGTGGAATATTTATCCTGCACTAAGAGGAAACACACATAACTTCTTTCAGAAAACGGCATCATCTGGCGCATCCACTGGCGAGGTGGTATCCTGCCCCAGCCACTGCGGTACAAAGAGGTGTAAGGAAGGGGCTCTGGCCTCTGCAAGCTCAGTCTCCACGGGCTCCCGGGGTGTGAGGTTGGGCACCTACCCACAGTTATCCTGGCCCAAGTGCTCGGTCTTGTCATCCTCCTTTCCCATTCCTGCCCAACACAGCCCTTCCACCTTAGCGCATTCCCACCTCATCCCTGCCTGACGGCCCCTCCTGCCCCATGCACGCCCTGTCTACAGCGAGGACAGCCTGCTCTACTCCCATTTTCTGTGTCTGTTTCATCTCACTTCCAGAAAGAACTGAAGCCTGCTCAACACAGTGGTTCCACTTCTCTCTCTCCCACCCCCGTGGTTCTCCTCAAGCCCCCAGGGCTCTGGGGCTGGATGAAGCTGCATGTTCCTTGGCTGTGTCAAGGCAGCAGATACGGACGGCACTGCCGTGCTAAGCCCCCTTCTTCTCGAAGCCCAAGCTAGCCGTTCATTCCCCATCTCCAGTGCCACTTTGCACCTATCCCAGGATTCTGACATTCCTCAGTGGTGCTGGCCCCTTATTCCCCGTCCTTGTCTCCGCTCCACCAGCTCTCACCCTTGAGCATGTGGCTAATCCCTTTCTTAGATGCTCCGTAGTCTGCTGACGCGATGCCCATGTTCAGGGACCATCTCCAAGCTCTCCACCTTTTGGCCTGCCTCGGAAGCCCCTACAGCACAGTGTGTCTGATATCACCTCTACATGGTAGGGCCATTATTTGTACAACTGTCCTGATCCTTCCCTAGCCACCCCTTGTATGACACCTTCTCTGACTCTCCCCCCACTCCCAAGAAGTGAGCTGGGAGCTGTCCACAGTGGGGCGGCCACACTCTGCCTTGTGGTGCTTGCTCGCCCAGGTGCTTATCCTGGGGGAGCATGCGCTGCATCCCTTGGTGGCTCTCCTTTAGTGGGATGGGTTTCACTGGGCCCAGTAGCTGCAGAAGCACTTAGTTAATGTTGGAATGCAACACGGGAAGTCAAGAAAAGTCAGAAAAAGACCTTATGGACTAATGCTTGAAGTAAGAAGAGAAGATGGGGGGGAAGGCAGGAGGTGACCAAGAATAGCATAGGGCATGTGTAATTAGAGAACTTTTCTATTTGCCTTTCAATAACCCCTTGGATTTGTTGTCTTTTAAAGTCATGACATTATTCCAAGACAATTTTCTCAGCATTTCCTATGCGCACAGGGCACCATGCTATAAGGGGTGCTGCCTGGGGGTAGAGCAATCTCTCCACATGGGTTCCCAGCGAGGAGCGGGCTCGCAAAGCCCTGAGTGAAAGATGCTTTAGCCCAGTGGGAAGCCTAGGAAGTGAAGCACTGCTAACAGAGGGTTTGGAGGCTAGAGGTCTCAGCCAGATCAATTATCAGCAAAGGGTGGAGAAGGGAGAAAAGATAAGAAAGCAGGGGTAGAGGAAGTGTATTAGACTGATTCTTAATGGTTTCATGTAGCAATTTTGTGTATTTAGTGGAGCCCTGTAGAACTTTCTAGTAAGGCGGGTGGAGAGAGCAGAGAGGTTACAGGATGTGGGATCAGGGTAAGATATTCCTTGGCTGGAAAAGCACAAAATAATTACGCAGATGTGGGCCTTGGAGCGAGTACACACTTTTCCCAGTGGCAAAGCCATCTAGTTGTATGACAGGGAGCTCTGCCCTGAGGCACTGAGCTCTTGGAGACATCGGCTGGCCTTCTTGGATGGGCCTGCGGAGGAAACAGAGCCTGCAGCATTCTGCTTTCCAAACATTTTCTTCTCCAGACCATTTGCCTGGCATTTCTCACATTCCTCCCCTCCTGAGGTGTGGAGCCAAACTCACATGGGGTTGGATCTGGTCTTTTTCTCCTCCATCCCAAAGGAGTGATGCCAGCACGTTCCTCAGGTGCCACTTTGTGGTAACGCTGTCACAGCCAGCTATCTGGCCCTGAAGGCTGTGTCCAGTTTATGTCCCCTCTTTCCTGTACCACGTGTTGTTACTCACAGCAGCAGAGCTTATGCTGACTTTACTGGGCTGCAGACAACCCTATGAAACTGGCTCCCTGGGAACCCTGTCTCCCAAAGCTGAAAACCTCCCTCTGTGGCGGAGGTGATGTTTGTTTAATATACAACGGCCCAAATCACAAAGAAGCCAAGGACCTGTATCCAGCTGAAACCTGAGAGGGGAATCTAAGGAACAAAAAGCATTCAGCCTAAGGAACAAAAATCAGGACTACTGAGAGATTCATTCAAGATATCTTGAATGACCAGGGATTTAGGTTTGTATCTCATCCCAGGCAAAATATAGTATTAAAAAGGGCCAGAAGGTCTCATGGCAAATAGGGGGCCTACAGGTTTTAACAAAGAAAGCATCTTTTTCCAGTGAAAATGTAAAAGGCGCCATGCTTTATGTACACTGCACCTGGATTCCCAAGTTCTCTTCCTCATTCACCTTACTGAGGGCTTCAGTCACCCACTCCTCAGTTAAATCCCGCTTTGCCCCAAACAATCTTTTGTTCAACTGTGATTTTCCCTTTGGCACAAACTGTCTAAGTGTGAGTTCGCTCTAACACCGTAGATGAATCAGTCCTCGAGCTGGTCCTCTCTCGACCCCAAATCCCTATAATTGGGCCCCTCCTTGGCTTGTCTCCGTTGCCTTCTATTTTGGGTCCTGAGTATCTATGGCGAGGACCTCGATCTTATTTTATAGCCTGTGCTACTGTCATGATTTACTGTAGGGCCAAGTCTGACAAACAAGGTAAAGAAGCTAGTGAGTAAAATAATGAAACCTTCATGCAGGTTGTTTATGTAAAAGATGTGGGTCAAATTGAAGGAAGATTGAATTTTTACAAAAATGACTATTACACTGTAAATGCATGGGGAACTAGTCAGCTAAAAAATGGCTGAGTTAATGATTTCATAAAGAAGTATTTCTTCGGATGATTCACCGCTCCGGACAGATATTCCCATTTTGTACACTGGGAAGTGGTGTGGTCTACCAGCTCTGGAAGAAGAGTCCTCATGTGAACTGTCTACTGGTTTCTCTGGTGTAAACACTCCCCCCACGGGCCAAACGAGCTATGGACACTTTCACCAAAGGCAGACTATTGAACAATGGGCTTTGGCTGGCTGGTACAAGTGGGCTCCAGCAGACCACAGATGCCAGGACTGCTTTTAAAGCAATATGCCTCGTGGAGTCTTCCTGCCCAGAGTGGGGCACCACAGTTTCTAAATTCCCATACTTACAGCTGCCGGGTTTGTGAACTGGCACGGAATCCCATTCTGGTGGTGGAGAGTCTTTTTCACCTTCTGAGCTACTGGTGTTGCCTAGTTCTTGACTATTTGGGAGGAATTTTGCTAGGGCAGGTGGCCTGTTTTCCACTAACTTATTTGTACCTGCACAAAAATCAGGAAAAAAAAATCATTAATGGAGGATAATTCCTTTCTTTCAGGTCTGTTTCAATGAACCTTCTAATGAGGATGAGAACACCACTGCAGCCTTTTATAGGACTGATAACTACTAATCAATTACTGGTAACTCTCAATAATTACTAATACAATGAATCATGAAAATATCCATATGGTGAAATGAAAATACCTTTTGTTTTCTGGGAATTTCGTGTTTTGGATCCACTTGTCAATGCAGTTGGAAGAGGAATCTTGGTTGGGAGATTTCTGCGTTGTTTACTTTCCAATGGGGGGGTATAAGGGAGCTCTAAAGAACTGAAAGACAATCATGGATGGAAAATTCAAATTTATGCCTTTGTTTTGGAGCAGAGAGTAGAAGTCACTGATCATGCTATAATCTCCACTGCATATGTTTTTCTAATCTGGCTTCCTCAGACACTATGTAGTCATGGTCCTAACAACACTGACTGCTTTCCAAATGTTTCCAAGACTGTTCAGGAGACACTCAGCACTTGCAGATTTATGCTTTGCTATTCTGAGTGCTGACAACGAACTGAGGTCCATTACTGGATACTATGGAATGGGTTAGAGCACCTACCTCACAGAGTATGTATAAAGCCTTTAGCACAAACATGCTGCTTTGGGGGCTGCTGAATGCAGTCATTTTGCTTGTGAATGAGTCTTTTCCAGCGTCTGGACTACTAGTGGGATTCTTGAATGTGGAGATTCTGAAAGGTCTCAGACTTAAAATGTCCAAGGGTCTGCACATTTGTCTCATAGAAAACATGAAATGAACCAGGGCTAAGTTCCTGGGTTGCTTTTGAAAATCCACTAGCCCACTGCAGGGCAGCAGGACTGAGTGATTTGCCTAAGCTCTAGGGTGAGTAGGATGAGATGAATCTTCTTCTTTATTCTTAAACTCAAGGTTAACCCTGGGCAAAAATTTAAGTATTATTTTTATTTAGAGTGTATATGTGTTCTAATAGATTTAGAGGTAAGCTTAACATAATAAACATGTATAAGAAGAACTAATTAGCTCTGAACTTCCTGTCCAAGGCAAAATGGGAGGCATGCTGGGCTAAGTTTCCACAGCCTGATGAAGAGAACATTAAAATTTGCTGGGAGAGAAGCAATTTCTCAGAGAAATGGACAGATGACCTATAGAAGGTGGCAGTGTGAGCAACGTAACTATCTGGGCCATAAGGACATTCTTTACAAATTTGCTTCTGTAATGGCCACCAAGATCAAGTAGTAGGCTTGGGAAGGCCTCTGACAGGAGCTAAGCTAACTTGGTCCAAGAAGGGCATTTTCCGGTGAAGGCTGAGACATAGCTGACAGAAACTGGTGGCCCCTTGCGAGAATTCTTCCAAAAATCATCAGTGATCTCCACCATTCTCCTGGTGATGGCCAGAAAGCTGTCGGTTCAAGGCTGAGCAGACAGCTTGCTTTTCATTAAAAATCTGACAAAGTTTACTGGCTGACGTAGATGTTCTAAAACGGGTGTGTCTCCAACACACCACTCTGGCCTCCCCGAGCCTATCCTTCAGGTTATTTGTTATGCACCACATCATCTTCCTTCTGTTACTACTCCAACTTCTCACTCCTAGAAGGCAGCCAATTTCTGCTAGGTTCTGGGACAGGGACAGCCCACTGTACTAATTCACACCAGATCTCAAAGGTCAGAAGGGTTCAAACCTTCCAGATGACAGAATAATACATAAATATTATTAATGATATAAATAAACACATTTTAACATAGGCTATTTACAAATATTTATATGGTAGTTGGTTAAAGGTCATTTTCTTTTCTTTTGTTTCTATTTCACATATTTTCTATAATAAATAGATATTATATTCAGAATTAGTAAAAGAGCTAACCAAAAACCCAAAGGGCTCTGTTAACCCAAATAAGTAGAATTTTTGGCAGGTTAACAAACCAACATGAAAGAATTCACTGTATACGGGCAAGAGTATTAATGCTATAGTTTTATAAATCTTCCATGTCCTTCTACTTCTGATTGACAGTGTTATTTAAAAACTCCATTTAAGGGGCGCCTGGGTGGCTCAGTCGTTAAGCATCTGCCCTTGGCTCAGGTCATGATCCCAGGGTCCCGGGATTGAGTCCCGCATCGGGCTCCCTGCTCGGCAGGAAGCTTGCTTCTCCCTCTCCCACTCCCCCTGCTTGTGTTCCCTCTCTCGCTGTGTCTCTGTCAAATAAATAAATAAAATCTTAAAAAAAAAAACCTCTATTTAAGAAAAAACAACAACAAAGGCTCCCGTGAAACAGACACCCAGCCCTCTGGGGGTGGTGGCAGAGGTGGGTGTGCAGTTATTAAGTCATTTATAAGTATAGGGAGTGGGGGCTATTTATACAAAGCATAACTCTGTGCCACTGTAAAATTAGTTGGTTTTTTAAGAAAAAAGGTGTCAGACAACTATTTTATTTTTGCTGATACATACTGTCCAAAATTAAGCTGGATGATCTTTATCAAGAAACCTTTTTTAAAGCCTTCTGAGTAAAATAGGTAAGAGCCTACTTAATTTAAATGATTCTTTCTAGAAGGGAAAAACCTTTGGTTTTTCAGATCTGGTGGTTCAGATGCCAGGCTTTATTTTTGCTCATGTAATACAGTCTATGCCCCTGTCTGGGGAAGGGGGAAGGCAGAGAGCTGAAGCCAAGATGAGGGCTTTCCAGTGCTCTCAGGTCTGGAGGCCAGGGTGTGAAATGTGGTGCCCAAGGCCCTGAGCTGAGTGTGCTGTTAGAGCAGAGTAGTAGAGAGTACAATTATTCTATGAAGACTTTTTTCCCCCCTCATTTTAGATTATTACATTCAAGTCATGTAAGTCATGTAAAGTGTTGATGAATAAACGGACAACTTCTATGGTGTCGAAGCTGACCAAGATGGATTGACCAGGTCTCTGCCATTGCAACACTATGCTCCACACTCCCAGGAAATGATTTTTTGAAATGAACTTGTGGGAGTATGGTAGGATGTGGCTGCACAGGCAGAGACCATGACTGAGACACTGCTCTGGCTTTATCAACACCTATTTATAAGAAAACAGGTTCCTCAACATTTCAGGATTGGGTCTTGTAGCCCAGAGATAACATAACATCCCAATAATAGTGACAATATTTAAAGACTAATTTTTGATAAAGCAAATGTGAACTAAGCCCACAGATTTTATTAATCTTAGAATATCAGTGTTTTGGCTTACTGATATATGGAACAGACATTTATTCCCAATCACATAAAGCTTTCAAAAGAAGATGATAATACATATATGCCTTATTAGTGGTATCTCTTTTTAAGAGTGTATCTATACCCTTCAGATTGTAGAACCAAAGAGTAACACACAGCATTTCTGAGGTGACAGGAGTTTTGGGTACCACTAATGTTAGGACTGGCAGTGATTTTACCTGAGTGACAGACTGTCATAACTCAGTGTAGACAGAGAGTGGCTCTATTCAGAGAGGTCATGTTTCTGGTTATTAAAAAAGCCAGTCTTTGTATGATCTCCCTGATACATGGAATTTAAGAAACAAAACAGAGGATCACAGGGGAAGAGAGGGAAAAATAAAACAAAACAAAATCAGAGAGGGAGACAAACCGTAAGAGACTCTTAGTAAACAAACTGAGGGTTGCTGGTAGGGGGCATAGGGTAACTGGGTGATGGACATTAAGGAGGGCACTGGGTATTACATGAGACTGATGAATCACTGAACTCTACCTCTGAAACTAATAATACATTATATGTTAATTAACAATTTAAATAAAAAAAAGAATATATGGTCTACTCCTTGTGAAAACAAAAACAAAAACAAAAAAGTCTTTGTTTAACTCCATATTTGAGTGATGTACTAATGAATTCTGACTCTTTTAATACTTTTATCCAACTGAGTTTGGGAAAACACAAAACAAGATTGGTGAGTTTAAAGAGATTAGATTAAGGAGATCAGAAGAGTAAGGTTGCATACGGATTTCGCCAGTTACAAAAGACAATTTTAAAAGACAATTGAGAGGACACTACTTACACCGTCTTGCTGGTAACGATTTTTTCTCTTAACTAGGACATGATTATCCTTATAACTGTCCCTTGACAGAGAGCCAGTAGAGAATGGGCTCCTGTAGCTTTCTGTTAACCAGAGAACTCGAAATCCGTACAGTTGGTGGCATTCAAGGAAATCTTTTATAAAATGTTCAAAATCAAATCCGCTAATGGTCAACTTATTTATTTATTTATTTTTTTAAAGATTTTATTTATTTATTTGCGAGAGAGAGAATGAGAGACAGAGAGCATGAGAGGGAGGAGGGTCAGAGGGAGAAGCAGACTCCCTGCCGAGCAGGGAGCCCGATGCGGGACTCGAT